GCATGTAGCTGTTATCCTCTGTGTCCTGAGCCTGCCTCTAATGTGGCTACAGCATTTAGGGAAGATTTCTTTTTAATGTGAAAACTGCAGGGTCAAAAAGGAAGAAATATAATTCTGGGCAGTCTCCAGCTCCTGCTCTCACTTATTTGTTCCTGAGTTTTTTTTGGTGAGGATGAGGAAACAATGAGCCTGAACTGTGATGTATATTTAAAAAAAGCAGAGAACTCATACAGTTTTGCTTGCCAAACTTTTGTGGTAAGGGGAACCTTGTTTCCAGAGCCTCAAATGTATTTTCAGATGCACCAGGGAAGGGAACATAATGCTATTGGCTTCCAAATAATGTTTGAATGATGTCCCAAGTTCCTCTATCACCGGCTTCCAGTCCCAATACAAATTAATCATGAATAACAGTAGTGGATACCACATCTTTCTCAAACGCCAAACACAAGACATGCTTCCTGAATGTGGATGTTATGAAAAAAGCAAACAGAGGAAGTGGCCATTACCATGGAAAATAGAAGAAAAGAAAAAAAAAGCAGAATAAAGAGCATCTAAACCTGTTCTAAGCACTCATGTAAAGAAGAGAAAATAGCCAGTGCTAGAGTAGGGCTCCAGAGAACTCTCCTCACCTTGCAAATGTACTTGCAGAAGTTTTGGGTTTTTCCCAAGCTCGACTTGCTGAGCTTGGACCATATCTAATGCTAGCCCATACACATCCAGTGCTGTGACAGGAAGATGTACCTGTCCAGAGGTTTAGCTCTCCCTCTGCAGAGAAGACTTTTGGGACACACTGTCCAGGACCTTTTGCAACTGTCATTTGACTGAGTACTTGACCCAAGAGCAGTTTGTACATATCTCAGAGACAGAGGAACTTTGCACAGCTTTTACAATTCCTGGGAGGAGATGTGTTCAAAATCAAACACACACTAGATGTTTTGCTTGGTCCCAATCCTTTTGGATTCTGTATGTCATCTGATCTCAGTACTCCTTCCCTACCAAACTTAGCCTTTAATAAGGCAACTTCAGAATTTCCAGCAAAACTGGCACTTTCAAAATTTGTGAAACTTTCAGAATTTGGGAAACAGAAGCCCTTGAATTTTTTATGGTTTGCTTTAGTTTTGAATGAATGCCATTTAGAGGTAATGGATACTTGTTAAAGCATACTGAGCACATTCAGATCTGATGTTGAAGAATGTATTTGCCAGATTAGTGGTTATCTACTATATTGTGTAATCCTAGATGTAAATTCTCTGCTATACCTGAGAGGCACATAATTTCTTGCTCCAAATGAAAAGAAACAAAGCTACTCTTCTGAGGGATGATGGGATGCTGTATTATCTTCTTCTTTAGTTCTTCTGCCCTCTTAAAACCAGACATAATGCTTCTAGTGCCCCAGGATTTACAATCTTACCTTTTTTCTTTCCTTACCTGTAACTATCTGCATCTTGGTCATTAAGCTAATAACAGTGCTTGTTTTCCAGATCCCTTAAAAAGGAAGAGAAACCTTTCAGGAAGGTAGTGGCACTGGAAATTCTACATAGAGTGAACTAAAATTACTGTCTCTACATCCAAACAATGACCTCTTTCTGGTTACTTTTGGAAACCGATTTCTTCAGTTGTGAGCAATGGTATCCTGTGAGGATCAATGGGCCTGCTTGTTTGAAATATAAAAAATATCCTGGGTGCTGGCCAGGGCTGCACAGAGTTCTTTGGACTCAAACATTTGAGACAATTTCAAATTAAGGATTTGCTGTTCAGTTTCTGTTTCCTTTTAACTTGCTCCTGGCTTCATGCTTTTTCAGGCTTGTAGTTATGCTTCAAGCAAATTCAAGAAGTAAGTTAATTGATTTAATATATCAGGGTCTTTCATATCATGCGTCTAAGGTTGAGGTTTTTTGGAAGACAGAAGCTAATCTTAGCAGTAAACTGATGTATATGTTTGGAAATTAGTCATCTGAACCATGTCAGAGCTATTCCAGCCTTTCTGTTTTAGGTCAGATCTTATCAGTTATGCTGTCTTCTCTGCATTTTCAATACGTAGTTTTCATGGTTACTCAATGGTATTGTACCATCTTTTCTTGGTAAGGACCTTTTCCATGCTGGCATAGCTGTAGGAAAGAAACAGAGTCTGGGATTGAGATTGGACTGTAGCCTGTGCTCTGATTTTGATGTGCTCTGGCTCTGGTTGTTCTTCTGCAGCTTAGTTTAGCCTTTTGTTCCTGCTACCACTGCTCATAGCTCTTCTAAACTCTCAGTGCTCCTAAGCTAGCCTAATGTTTCTAACCTAATTTTATTTACACCCAATATGAATAGTTAATGCCCATTTGGCCTTGTACCAGCATTGTCCTAAGACATAAATAGCTTTTCATGGATTCATTTTTATAAGATCATGCCTGATTTCAGTCCTTGTTTATCACAGTTAAGGAAATAAAACTCTATTTAGACTCATCGTGTAAGATGGGTTCTTCGTTCCCTGATGTGTCTCACAGTACCTTCTTTGTATGTGCTCCTTTCAGAATGTTTCTCCTTCCAGCAAAGTTTTCAGAAAGATTTGTGACTTGCTTACAGACATAACAGATACTTTTCAGACATCTTCCAGAATAATGATGGCAGAGCTGGAAACAGCCAAACCTATCCTTCTTCCCTTTGTTTTGGTCATTCAAACTTGCTTCTCATGATTTAAATACCGCTCTGAAACTGGGCAGATATTGCTTCTCAGCTTTTTTACCTGCACCGGTGTCCCACATGTTTTGACAGCATGTGTTGACTGATACTATCTTTCTTTTCCAGGGAGGTTCAGCTTTTTCTCCAGCATCCATTATTACTAAGAGGAGAGCACAGACCCAAGCAGAAGTCCTGGCTGAAGATGTGGGATGCCCTTCATCCACCAGTGAGGAAATTGTAGCCTGTCTCCGCCAGTTGCCTGCTCGTGTCCTCAATGATGCACAGACTAAGGTACAGCATATCAAAATAAATGCCATTGGATAGGAATCAAAAATTTTTTATTGACACAAAGCTGTGAGGAAGCTTAAAAAATAAGTTGGGCTGAACCCTTCTGAATGAGAAACTGGACTAGCTTTACTTTAACTAGTGATGCTAATGTACATGACATCCACTTCTGACTTGAATACTCACAGCTTGTGTCTTCTTTAGACAAATTCCTTTTACACTACCCTGAACATGTCTTCCAAAATTAATCTAAATATAGTTTTTACCTTCTTTCAGTCCCCTTTCATGTGCCCCTGAGTGTTTCTCTAGAGAAGAATCAAGTGTCTGTAGCTTTGGTAACTGCATTTTTGAAGAAAAGGAAGTGGGGAGGAATATCAATGCTCTGTCTCTTAAGTGGGAGACTTGTAAAAGCTTCATTATAAATGATTCTAGAGATGAATCCCTTACCCACAGATTAAAATACTCACTGGCAATACATTTTCCAATCAGGACCAGCATAGAGCAAATTCCTAATTTAAACCAATATTTTTATGGCTGTAAGACCACCAGTTCTCTTGGCCTATTCAGCTCTTCTACTGAGACTGTCGGCAAAAGAATTTCTTCCTGCCAGTGGTGAGTTTGCACTTACATTAACTCAACACTTGTTCACTTGAAGGGTATCAGCTCAGTTTTCGGAAGCATAAGCAAAATGGAAATGCTGAGGGTAAGCTAACTTAACTGCATTATTATTGCTTTTTTCCTAATCTAGCTCCTAGCTATAAGTGGTCCATTCCAGTACTGGGGTCCAGTGATGGATGGAATTTACCTTCGGGAACCTTTAGCTAAAGCCCTGCAGCGCCCTCAACTTCGGAAAGTAGATCTGCTTATTGGAAGTGCTCAGCAAGATGGGCTGATCAGCAGAGCTAAGGCAATTAAGGTAAGAAGACACTCACTGTTAAGGTATTACTTATTACTTATGGTATTACTATTACTATAATGATGACGGTAATCATACACAGCCAGAACCCATAAGATCCTCTTATTTTCTACAGTTTATGAATTATACACCATGTAAATATGCAAACACATTGTCCATCTCCAGCCAGTCCTGTTTAGGCTGATTAATGGCATTATTATATTTGTTGAATAACACTACTGGGGGAGATATGAAAAGGTAAAAGATCAGCAATGATTTAGCATGTATTAATATGCAGTAGCATATTTAATTGTCTCTGAAATCCTGTTTATATAGAAAGCTCAGTTATACATCACAGAGGAGAAAGAAAGTTGATAACTTGGTGATGAGGTTATGCACTGTGTAGCAGGGCTAAGTCAGTCTTTTCCATGCCAACCTTTTTTCTTTTTTTTGTGGCAACTTTTTTCTCTATTGACTTTAAGAAGTACATTTTCTTGTAAAGATAATTATGAATATGGACTAGCTGTGACTAAGAACAGCACTGACCTGATTTGTGGGTTAGGGTTTCAGGTCATAAACTGGTGAAATGAAAAAGAATTGTGTCCATACCGTACTTGGGACATGAAAGTCCTCAAAAGCATGAAGGTCTGCCCAGAGGGATTTTGTGTCCTCTTGTCAACCCTCTGGCACTGTCTGTTCTTGAGACAGCACATCAATCTCTTCCATTTCATTTGTTCTTCTCTACGACGGAGAACAGTAGCCAAATTAAATTAAATGTTACAACATGCTCAGATATACACTAAGAAATCAACAGGAGAATGTTAGAACAGAGATTATTTTGAGGGTTAATTAAGTGAACTGCAGGACTGTTGTCACCTTTCTGCAGCTGTGTGGATTTCATCTCTTAGGAGGCAGTGAAAGGTTAATCCCAGCTTCTCTTTGCTGATAGCCACTAACATATAGACCAAATTACTTCAGAATTAAGGGCAAAATTATTACTTTGAAAGAAGGCTATTTGACCCACTTGAAAAAAGTTGATATTGCTTGTTTAATCTCCATCGGAAATTTCCTGTTCTTATTTAATCCATCTTTCTCTTTTGGAATCAATTGAAAGGGGAAGTCAGGCATTGGAAATGGACTGTGTTGCTGGAGACCTGCAGATGATGATCCAGACCCTGTGAGACAGGAATAAACTTCAGTAACCTCATTACAAGTCATGTGATGAAGACTAGGAAGTGAAATTCTTTCCTTTACCACTATTTCCACATGTGACAGTTGTCTGCAAAAACAGAATTAAATTCCGTGATGTATTAGAAATTATGCAACAAATCATGATGTTAATGAAAGCCACAAATGCTAAAAGCCAGGTTGAAATGAAAAGGAAAAACGCTTGTAACTGAGAACTCAGCAGTAAAATGTTGCCTTTCCAAAAAGAAAATCTGGAATATCTTCTTTATTTAAAGGCTTGCAGAAAATAAGATTGGAAGCAGACTCAAAAACTTGGTGCAACTCAACTCTAAGAAATGGTCATATTTACCTCAACCTGGTTTAAAATCTCCTATTGCGGGAGATCCAATCCCCCTTGGCAAGAGGTAGCTATCTTTACTTAGAAGGATAGTTAACTTCTTTACTAGCTGTTATAATAGGTCCTACTTTACTTGGTGCTACTGCTGTAAGCCAGATTCCATCTCTGTTCCACAAAATTAATAATGTTCATGGGAGGTGGTTATATTTTGTTTTCTCTCTTTTGACTTCCTTAAGCTGTTTTTATGTTCTCAGCAAGAACTGATGGTTTTTTAAACACATTTTCCTCTATTTCTGTTTTCCTGTGTCTTCAGGTTTTTAGGGCTTGAGGGAATATGACTGTTTTTATCAGTCTATATTCCTGCCTTTGGATTGTTTTCTTTTCTTAAAGATGTGCTGCAAGGTTTAAGTTTCCCAATTTCTTCTTTGCCTGTGCAGTTAGTGTGTTAATTGCTGGGAAACTAACACTTCCTCCATCACTGAGCTATTTAAGAATATGCTTTTTTCAGGTCATCAAGAGCATTTCTACGTCACAGCCATGACCATGCATAGTTGCAATCCAAGTCAGACGATAAAGTCCTGAGTAGGCCACAGACATATTTAACTAGTGTCAGAAACTCGTGTGGGTGGTGGTTGTTACCGAGAAGTCTGTGCCCCGTTTCCTCTGTCATAATGTCATAGGGACTCTTTGATCTGTGCTAGCTGTCCTCTCCCCACAATAGACCTAGAAGAAGGATTTGAGACAACCCACACTGTATCCCACTCTTCTACTTTATTTGTTTTAAGGGCTCCCTTGACGTAGATCTGACTTGCATCTTCCTGGGAAAACCCAAAGCTGGTTTTACTAATATACTGAGAAAGGTGGGATAGCTTAGCTGGTGGTCAGAGTGCTGAACTGAAGTCAGGGAACCAAAGCATAATTCACAGTTCGCCCCTAGGTACAACCAGGTTATTTAATCTGTTCTACAAAGAGGGGACGAAACCTCTCTGGGTGAAAATCCATGTGGATGTGCTTCAACTCCATAGGGAGAAGAACCATGAATGTGTTTGGGTAGATAAATGGCACAGCTAAAACGTCATGTGGCAAGTGTATGGATTTGGCAAAGCCCTACGTTTCCATATACTTTAGGATGACTGATTTCAGTGCAGTCAGATGCAAAGAGTGGGAGACAGGAAAATTTAATCCCTGCTGACCTGTTCCACCAGTTCCTGGGAATAGCTGTGCTAGCAAATTCAGCCAAGGGTTTTCTCTATTAATCCTGGTCTTGCTCTATTAATATCTGTCCTGTAAATGATGAAGAGACACTTTTAGCCATATGGATGCAAGCAAGCTTGAGATATGATGCAAATCTTATCGCCTTAGACTGGAGTTGCATGCAGGTTTTATCAACTCTTAGTAGCCAAGTCTTAGGAGTGAGAGTAAAACCTCTAGGGTGCAACCAGAGCTGAGGGTGGTAAATCCAGTAGTCACCATGTTATTCGGTAGGAGCTTAGTGGCATGTGGTTGTGTTGGGTGTACTCTACTCCCACTGAAACACTGTGCTTATACCTGTTAAGACTTTTACTATTAAAAATGAAATAGAAAGACAGAAGGCACCACTTATGTGCTAGCAAAACATTTATGTTTGATTTGTTTACAATTAAAGGCTGAGGCCTCCCCATGGTGCTTGCAGGAGAGAGTACGCTGAATATTCATGCTCAATGTCTTCCCCATGGAAATGACCGTTTTATGGCATTTGCTTGAATGCTTATTCATGTGAACTGAGACAGATTTACCACTTTCTGGAGTACTTCGTACTCATCCCCAGTGCAGCCATCAGATGGTTGAAACTAAGTGAGAAACAAAGCAGAATTTGTTAAGGGAATGGCAAGTGGTGCCATAATGCACTATTATGTGGCATATCGAGTGGTTAAGCCTGAACCCATTAACTGCAATTCCCATGGCAGACCTTCAAGGATATTAGCTTTGAACAGTCATGGATTAGGGCAGCTGAGCAGAAACCTCTAAAAATATTGATTTCAATTCCCAACTGGGCAAAATTTTATCCCTGTACTATATGTGGTGCCCAGGTGGGAGGATCTAATGGTTCCCACTGGCATTAAATATACAGAGTCACTCATGCTGGTCTGTATCTGTGTTTGTCTGTATATAGGCATGTAAGTCACTTTGGCCTTGTTTGCATCCTCCGTATGTTCTGTGCATACTATGTAATCTCCACAATACAAGGTCGTTAACTTTCTTTTTAGTTGGAAGACTAAGGTTGCACTTTAAGTGTTTCCCTTCCTTTTCTTTCTTTCCTTAGTACAAATCTAGTTGGTTGGGGTGAAAAGTCTCAAAATATCCTACAAATGCCATTTCAGTTTTCATCTCTGCCTCTTGAGTCCTCTTTTATCTGACTCAACACATCTCAAGGACTGCACTCTATTATCAATGGTTGCTGAGAAAAGTCACCAGAGGTTTTGGGGTATTTTGAAGATCACAGAAACTAGTACATAGGAACAGTAAAAACCTTAGACTGACCGCACTGAGTCAGATCAAAGGCTTATTTAGCACAGAATGCTGATTTCAGCAGTGACTAAGAGTGGATGGTTGCAAGAATAGGGTAAGCAAGTCTGATAATTCTGTTAAATGCTCTCCAAACACCTAGCACCTTGCATTTAAGGGACTTCCTAGCCTGTATTGGTCTTCCCATAATTAAAAACCATCGACTGATTCTATTACATTGTTTCAATTCAAAAAGTTTTTAATGAAAATTTACCTTCACCAATTTTGGCATCTGCAAACCCATGGACAAGGAGTTCGTCAGCTTAACCATGCATTATGATGTTCCATCTCCTCTTTGGTTTTCAACTGTAATGTTTTTTTGATGCTTGGTAGTTGATGAGGCAGTGGAGGATCAGTTCCTAGGGTACATAATCAATACCCTAAGGTTTTTTTTCTCTTTCTTTTTTTCCTTTCTGTTTTAAGTTATCCATTACAGGTGTAGAATAAAGTAACAAATGCCTTAAAAACAAAACAAAAAACAACACCAACCAAACAATAAAATAAAAGCATTGCATGAAAGTTGCTTTGTACAGGATGCTTTACACATAAGAGCTTGGTCCCTGCATTGACACAGAAAAACATCTGTTCTTATCCATATCTGCTAGCCAAATCCACCAGCTCTAGTCACCAAACAAGAGATTCCTAATTAGACAGCAGCAATGCTTCTGCTGATAAGCAGGGACCTGAACTGATGTCTGCTGAAGCTGATGGTAAGATTGCTTTTGAATTAGTGAATCTGCAGTTAAGTCTTCAGCAATAATTTCTGTTTCTTGCAGAAAAATATACGTGTCCTTGCTGTATTTAAACTGAATGATTTTGCAGGCAAGTGTGCTATGCAGTTTCCTGTGTGGCATTTTTGCACATGAAGTGATGTGTCATGTGTGAGTTGGAGATCATTTTCGAAATAAGCTGTATTACTAAAACTGGCACCACATGACTCTCTTCATGTTGCATGGGCCAAAATCTAGCAAAAGCAGAATTTATTACAAATAAAATGAATATTGCCAAGATCTTTTTGCACCTTAGGAAATTTGGTGGAGTTTTGAAATCTCTTGTAAAATCACTTAATGAAAATCCACAAAACGTTAGATTGTGTCCGAAAGGACAGTCCTCGGCCTCAGTAGACGGAGACTAATTTTCCATCTTTCATTTCTGTGAATCTGTTGAAAAGTAATTATTCCCTTTGTACTTTCTGTATAGGGTTGTGGAAAGACCTAGCTGCATGATAAAAACCAGCTGCAGGTCATCAAAATAATATGTTTAGTAAAGGATCTATGGTTACTGGACTGGGCAGACACCGGCCTATTTTGCATCAGACTGACTGCCCAGAATAATATAGGTGGTTTATTAGATCTTTTTTGCTGGAGTTCTTAGACCAAGTTTCATCCAGCATGCACCTGCAAGGTACCCTCTTTAGAAAAGACTTGGTCCACAAAAAGATTCAGCTCTGTTTCTAAGCTTGAAATAAATTATTTAAAAAAAAAAAAAGTCTGAATTGGTAACATAAAAAAACTTCTTCAAAGAAGGATGTGGTGAAATCTCCCAGCAGTCTTTAGCTTTGTTAAAAATAGGGTTGGGTAAGCAGTTTGTCATGGAAGATGGTCCCCCTGCTATCAGTAATTCCTGCAGTGACGTGGGCACTCTGCTCTGGGGAAGATACCTTTATGTCAGGAATGGTTTCAGACCACAGATCTCAGGAAAAGGGCATTTCAAGGTAGAACTCTCTAAAAGGTCCTAGGGGTTATGAAGTTTGAAGATCGTGGCTGCTACTTTCATTGGGGTTTGGAGGAGTGGGATGTCTCTTCCAGGGCTAAGGCAGGTAGTAGTCCAGAAAGGACCTAAATACAGGCCTTAGGGCAGCCACATTTCTTTGTAGGTGTTTACAGAAGAGGCAGAGTAATACAGCCATGAAACTGCCACTTTTAGCACATGAAATGGCTATATGATGTGTTTGCTTTTTGGACTCTTCAAAGGAAAAAAGCAATATCTCCCTCTCTCCCCTTTAAATTTCCTGCAGGGAGCTCATCAGAAAGACAGCATTGGGCACGCTTACACTGCAGGACTGTCCTTGTGGACTGTTTACCTGGGAGCCAGCTGGGTTTCTGTAGTGTTACAGCTACATCTGCACAGTACTGTACCTGTGATTTGGACTTATCAGCCTAGGGAATCAGTCCTATAGTATGTATTGGAAGCCAATACAGCTAGATGACAGTCTTTGGAAAGCATAAGTAGGACTGTCCCATACTTCTTCCCCTAGGAATCAGAGATCACAGCAGAGAGGACTCGTTCCAGCAGAGGGAGATCTGAGCCCATATCCTTCCATTAAAAGATATCCTTTGGTTTTGTTTGTAAATTCCCTGTGTGCATTTTGTTCTCAGAAATTTGAAGAAAGTCAAGGAAGAGTCAACAGTAAAACAGCCTTTTATCAAGCTCTGCAGAATTCTCTAGGAGGAGAAGACTCCAACTCATTCATTGAAGATGCAGCTACATGGTATTACTCCCTTGAACACTCAACCGATGATTATTCCTCATTTTCCAGGGCTTTGGAAAATGCTACCCGGTAAGAAACTCATCCTATTACAACTGGGGTTAAGCAAGGTTTGATTTTCTTATCTCAAGTGTGCATTTATATTCTGAATAAACCAAGAAATTTTTCTGCAAATGGAGGGAAAATGGGGAATATACTTTCATTTTCTATGAGTTTTCCAGTGTCCTTGGTAAACAGAAATTGTACTGACTTTTATGCCTTGTGAAAAGTTTGAATTGTCTTTCCTGAACTGCATATTGGATGCAGACTACTAATGCTTCTTTGTGTATTCTTTCATGTCAGAGATGTCTTGATTGTTTGCACACTCTTCATCAACTATTTCTTGAATCCTCTCATCCTTGTACCAGTAGAACTAACAGACTGGCTTTTATTCACAAACAGTCACCTCATTATACAGTTAGATAGTTTTCCTATTTTTTTCCAAATTTGGAGAGTGGTCAAGTTTGAAAGCTTTGATTTCAGCGATTACATTAATTTTTCTATTATCAAACCTGCAAAATATATTTGCTCACAATGTCCGGCTTTCTACAGGTGAGTATCCTGTGTAAAATGGTGAAGCATTTGTGAATGTTCAGAGAAGTGGCTCCCAAGCCCATTCTGTGCATTGCTAATCTCCATTTTACCTATGGCAGAAGAATCCCCTTAATCTTATTCATATATTTCCTTGACAATTATGTATATTTATGCCAGGGTATAGTGATTGTAAACGTTACCCAATATCAGGTAATAGGATGCATCTGTAGGAAGTCTTCTTGCAGAGGTGAAAGGAGAACACACAATATTTGACTCTTGCCTTGTTTGATCCATCAGGACACGCCATAGATTCACAGTGCCTCTCAGCCTCTTCCAAAGGAGATAGTGATGAAATGTCAGCAGATGAATAAGCAACTTATCTCCAGTATATACAGTCCCATAATTTGCATTGAAACTTTGCAGGCAGATACCATGGGGAGGTGGAAGTTGAGCAGTGGGCCATGTTCACACCACCTAGTATATATGCATAACATTGACCCTTAATTGGGTATGGCATCAGGGTCCATCAGTTCTGGATAACAGTCAGTTTGAAGGGTTCATTGCTCTGCTGAAGCAGGACTCCACAGTACTGATGAGACCTGTGGTAGGCCTCAGAGACTGGCAGATGTCTTCAACTTGGGTGACATGGTGGTTTGGTCTGCAGAGGAGTCTCTAGATTCTGCTCTCTCCCCCATGGGCAGTCAGTTTGCTTTAGCCAGTTACAGATCGTGAGCTGTGGCGGGGTGGGCCTGTTTTTCTGAAAGGAGGCAAACTGAGGGGAAATCTCCTTACCCTCTTCTTCCTGCCTTCGTGCAAACTCGGGAGCTGAATGTTTAAATGGAACAGATAATTTTCCCTATTTCTGTCTGCCTCATGAGCAGATTTGTTATGAAAACTCTTTATATTTCTAAGGTGATGTGTTTTATAAATTGGTGGTTTGAGTCCTAGTGTGCTCGTCCAAGCTGTTTCGCCTCTGTACTGAACCGAGACATCATAGCTACAGGCTCCTGGTATCTGATCTCTCAGTGTTACAGCTGTCCCACTGTGAGCCTCTCAATGAGACCTTGGAGACAAGATTTTCCTTACAGTAAGTCTTAGTCCTCCGTCAGAATTGCAGAGCATTGCTCCAGGGGAGTCTCAGGGAGCAGGAGATGAACAAGAGCCAAGATTCACTTGGAAACATCTGACCCAAGACCGGAGTGACCAAATCTGTTTGGAGAAGGTTTCTGGGTGGTCCAGGTGTGCTGGTGCACTGAGGTCACGTAGTAAACAAGCCAGAAGCCTGTGGGTTGAGCTTTGTGCCATTTGTTGAGTCTTGCACTGTGCTGCATTTGCCTGCCTCACAGCCTATCCCAGGGACAGGCCACCCATCCCCGTGGCATCTGGGGCCACTGCATGTGGCATACCTGGAAGTGCTGTGGTTCATAGGCATAATAGCCAAAACTCATCTTTACTGCCTTTCCATCACCACCATTATCCATGGGGCTATAACACTTCAGTCAGATCATTAAGATTTTAAGCCATAATAAACGACTGGAGGACTTCAATTTAAATCCGTGTTCCAACCCAGAGGTACATCCATAAGGAGCTGTTATAGCACAGTTCTGTTGCATTTGGAGTGAGTCCAGAGGAGGCCACAGAGATGCTCCAGGGGCTGGAGCACCTCTGCTATGATGAAAGGCTGAGAGAGTTGGGCTTGTTCAGCCTGGAGAAGAGAAGGCTCCGGGGAGACCTTATTGCAGCCTTCCAGTACCTGAAGGGGCTACAAGGAAGCTGGGGGGGGACTTTTTACAAGGGTCTGTAGTGACAAGACAAGGAGTAACGGGTTTAAATTGAAAGTGGGGAGGTTTAGGTTAGATAGCAGGAAGAAGTTCTTCAGAGAGAGGGTGGGGAGGCACTGGAAGAGGTTGCCCAGAGAAGCTGTGGATGCCCCATCCCTGGAAGTGTTCAAGGCCAGGCTGGAGGAGGCTTTGAGCAACCTGGTCTAGTGGAAGGTGTCCCTGCTGATGGCAGGGGGGTTGGAACTAGATGATCTTTGAGGTCACTGCCAATCCAAACCATTCTATGATTCGGTGATTTGGTCACCCACGGGCTCAGCATGTTGCAGACACTGACTTTGCGAAGCCAGGACAGCTAGCACACACCACTTGCTTGCAGCAGGAGTGCAGTACCCAAATATCTCCTTCTCATCCTGCAAGTGCCCCTCAGCAGCCTCATGGGTGTAGGGATCGCCTGCTTCTTTACGGTGTGCAGCAGGTGACTTGGCTAAGGAAAGGAAGTGAATGGCCTAAAGAGTCACCGTGAGCAAGCAGAAGGATGAGTAGTGAAACCAGGTAAACACTTAGGAAATTACTCCAGCTACAGGAGAAAAGCAGTTACAGAATGACAGTCATCTACATCAGTATCACATACATGGTGGAGAAAAGAGAAATTTGGGTTTGGGCTTTTTTGGTGTTTGTTTTGTTGATTTGCTTTGGGTTTTTAATTGTGGTGTTGTTTTTTTTTTTGTTTTGTTGTTTTTTTTTTTTTTAAATTACCTGCATATATGTTTAACCCAAGAAAAGTTCTATGTCAGGAAGTTATAATTAATTGCTAAAGTTTTAACAGTATTGTAGAGTGTGAGAAAGCAACATAAGTGGTTATTACAAACTACATACATTATGCATATTTTATAGTTTTAAAATACTTCCACTTTTAAAATTGTTCTAGCTGCAAATCTCTGATATTCTTCCCAGGTATAAAACTAGCTTTTCTTTTCTTTTCTTTTCTTTTCTTTTCTTTTCTTTTCTTTTCTTTTCTTTTCTTTTCTTTTCTTTTCTTTTCTTTTCTTTTCTTTTCTTTTCTTTTCTTTTCTTTTCTTTTCTTTTCTTTTCTTTTCTTTTCTTTTCTTTTCTTTTCTTTTCTTTTCTTTTCTTTTCTTTTCTTTTCTTTTCTTTTCTTTTCTTTTCTTTTCTTTTCTTTTCTTTTCTTTTCTTTTCTTTTCTTTTCTTTTCTTTTCTTTTCTTTTCTTTTCTTTTCTTCAATGCCTGTAAAAAACAGCCATTTCATTTTTGTGGTTACTAGTTTTTAAATTTTTTTTTTACTTCCCCAGAATTGCTGACTTCTTTTCTGCCCATAGCACCAACTGAGAATCAGTTTTAAGTGGTGACATGTATTTCAAAGCATTTCTCGAGAGCTAATGCTCTCCACAGACTCCCTGGTTTTCAAACACCATTTGCTCCTCTAAAACCCCATGCTGGTAGGCATGTGAAGAACAGTAATTTTCGTTTCATATGGGTGTTGTCAACCATAACTGTCAAGGAGTATTGTGGTCAGTCAGCCCATAGCTTGTGGTCTCACAGAAGGGCATAAACACTGTTTCCAAGATAGCTACGCAAACAGTGCCTTTCATAATCACACCAGTTAAATATAGCAATATGTTTTTATGCATCTCTGACACTGTTCTTTCTTGCCAGTAGTCATTCTTTTTTTACCTACCAAGTCTGAAGAAGCAGCTACTAGTTTAGGTTCACTAGACTAAGAACTGAAACCATCCACTTCCGCAGCAGATAGGTTTGTGTGTGCTCATGTAGCTATGGATGTATAAACCCCCAAAGGGAGTGCTGGGTCTTCGGGCACATGTAGAATGAGAAGTGGTGATATGTGTATATATCATATTACCTTGAGGAATCATAACAAGATATCTTGCAGTAAGGTGTTCTCTTTTCTGCCTGCCCCTCTTGAACTGCTTGTGCTCCTTCCACCTACTGCTCACCCCACCTTCTAGCCCTAATTCTTGGAGCAATGGAAGCTATAAAGTTTTGGATACATTTGCTTCACTCATACCTTCTCATTGCAATACCTGGTGATAAACTGATCCTTTATCTATCGCATTGCATTCTTTTTGTTTAACCTTTCACTCACAGACATACTGCACCAGATATTCCATATTCATGAGCCCTGCCACAGACCCTGCAGGATATCTCCAAAAGAGTTCTCTTACTTCTTCCCATTCTGGAAGCTCTACTCCAAAAAAAATCACACAGATCCAAATGCAGAAATGATACTATTGAACCTTAACCCAGGAAATATATAAGTCCTTTTATGAGATGCCATTACAACCTAGTGATGCCAGAAGGATGAGCTTTATACTATTACAAACATGAGCTCCCATAAACTAGACTAAAATGGGATTGGGTTTTTTGGCCAGGATTCTCCTTATATGTCAAATTTGGTTTATTTAATGTAATTACCCTTGTTCAGCACTCCATTAAACAGCAATTTTAGTGAATATGGAGCTGTACTGGGCTCATAGAGGGTGAATGTAGTTTCCCTCAGTGGACTTGAAAGGTTGTTGAGCTGTTTTGGAAGATTTAAAGATTATCAATATAGGGAGAGGTCTGTTGATTGTGGGTTTTTTTTTTTCCTTTTTTCTGTTATGTGACGTGTCTGTTCCCTGCTTTTTCTTTTTTATCAGTGACCAATTTATCACGTGTCCCATCATTAACATGGCCAGTCACTGGGCTGCTAATTCCAGAGGAAATGTCTTCATGTACCATGTACCAGAGAGCTCCGCACAGAGCAGGTAAGGAGATGTATTTTATTATGTTTCTTGGATTTAAAGTTTGCAAATACAGGGCTGTCTATTTGGGCACCCTGTGGAGTAAATAGATAGATATCAATATCAACACTTTAAATTAACAAAGGAGGGATTGAGCTCTAATAGATTATTTCTCTCTGTTGACTATATAGGAATGCTGTTTATGACCTGAGGCACTTCAAGTTAGATGTCTAAATTAAGTTTCCTTTTTCAAACTTACCTACCTTTGCCACTAGATTTCTATTCTATGTCTGATATACCTCCCACAAAGAACCAGAATGTGGTCTAAGTCATCTGGAGCCCACAGCTGTCAAGGTAAATGGGGTAACACTTTCAACATTAATTTAATGCTGCCCCCTTTTGAAGTCAGTGCACCACATTTACACTGATGGGTCTTCAGTGTGGACAGGGTCCAGGATTTATTCCTTCTGGCTCCAGCACCATGACTTGTGATCAGCCAACAGACTGTGGGAGGAAGAGTATTTGCAGACTGCAGCCCTATGTCATCCTTCATATTAGAAGCTTGCTTGTAAATTTTCAGCAGAGAAGCTGTATCATATTTTAGACAGAAACGTCTAAATGCCTGTGGGTGATGCAAATGCCTTGTTCCCTTGGGCATAGAACAAGCTGGTAGTCAGAGCCTATTAACATGACCTTCTCTGGTTGTGTTTTAGACTCAACCTCTCCCAGAAGTCAGGATGAGATCCTGAGGTTTGCAGACAGTGGTCAGCACTTTGGGCTGCTATGTGCCACACCACAGGAGCTCCTGGTCCCATGCTCTCAAAGGCCGAATGATCCGGAACTGCAGTGACAGTAGCCCCTCTTGTCCCCAGGATCCACACATTAGGGCAGCAAAGCAAACAGCGATGCTTATCTTCTCTCTGTTTCCTTACAAGGGAGCATGTCCTCTCCTGCCCCATCCTTTCTCCAAGAAAGATTTTTGACACCCTTGTCTTTTTCTTGGGCTTTCTCCGAACGAGCTCGGGGAGGGACAGCAGGTTCCTACTGGCACCATTTGATACTGTGAGGTTCCCAGTCTTCCTCTCCTGACAGCACGGTGAAAAGGCATTTGAAAGGAACCAGTGAAGATCTAGGTTACAGATGAAGGCCATTATGCTGCGGTCACACAGGCTCGCTTTCTTTTTAGCTGAGAGGAAGTTAATCCTCGGGGAGCCATTATTTTGCTGGCAGCTCCAGCGGGAATGTTCGCAGTGCTCTGTTTGGCTACCGATAGGCTCAGATAAGTGACTTTTACGAGGCTCCAAATAGGGCTGAGCTATGGTATGCCAAAAATCCAGCCACACAGAAAGGAAAGATGTGTTCTCAAATCAGCCTGCAAGTTTTCTCTTGCTTTGGAGAATGACTACGATAAGATTGTATTTGTAAGTATATAAAATAGTATTTATACAGCTCAGTCACCAGCTTTGAGACAATGATTTTGAATTGATGAAAAGTTTCTCTTCTATCTAGCCCTATTTAAGACTTTTCTTGTGCTTGTTATTTAGCTCTCCTCACACTCTTCAGTGGAGCAATAGCTTATGTATCACTTAGCTACACATTTTACTAGTATTTATATTGTCAGTGGACTTCTAAGCTAATTACTTTAAATATTAGTGCAAAACTTATTATTCCACTTTTTTCTAACCCTCTTTAAGAGAACAAAGCCAGTATGCTGCCTGAAATTTGTGGGAATATGAGGCAGAGCTCAAATGCCTTAAGCTAAGCCACTTGTGAGGAAAAATGGGCCCAAATTGCTATGCTGCATTTACATTCTTACTCCTTTCATCTTTATTTATGCTTAAGTTCCATTAAAATAAATGTTGCTTAGGTTGAAAAGGCAAGCACTTAAACAGAAATTGCAGAATTCAGATTATCCATGTACCAAAGGATCTCATTTGACACTACAACATGTTCTTACTCCATTACTGGAGTCTCTACTCCATTACTGTCCTTACTCCATTACTGGAGTAATGGGTCCTGGCAGTTCTCACGTTCTTCTTTGAAAATTGTGACTCTTAGGAGGAGAACAAGAGGCAGATACTCTGCAAGTAACCCACAGTTTCGGCTGAAATTCAGGAGGTGTGGGTTTGAACTTCCTTAGCAGAAGTGATAATTGAATCTGGGACCCTACAAACACTCTAGCTATTCAATTCCTGAATAGGAGAACCCTGTTACAGCCATTCCTTTATGTTAATGAATGCAATAACCAACAGGATGTTTTGCACATAGTAGGCATGCACAGAATATTCTGTGAGTACACATTCTGGATCAGGTCCCCCCCAGTGTGCTGTAGCTGGAGGAACACCTCATTAGATTTTCCCAATCAATGATAGGCATTTGACAGAAAATGATTTCTCAGCCCCACATCTGGGTTAGATAGAGACCTCCTGTAAAAATGGAAAGTTCTATAGTATTATGTCAATAGGATAACATGAGATAAAATAATGAAGTTTTGGTCTTTAGTGTCTAAATTCTTCCTAAGATGTAAGTTTACACATGATACGGATCTTTCCCTCTTTGTGTTATCTGTATCATAAAGCTGATGATGATAATATAATTGTATATTAATCTATAAAAACTGCTAATAGCTACCTAACAGAGGTATTGGAAAGAGTACAGCACAATCATATTGTGTTCAGATAACTACAACAGTGGAAGACTGTTTACTCTTAGATGAAATACTCTGGTTGGGAAAATGGCCATTCTCTAATTAAGGCACAGTATAGCAACACATTCTCCAATTTCTACTCTGTTACCTCTCTTCTGCTTTCTGCCTGTCTCCCAAAATGTGTAACTGAACAGAGAGTTAAAATGCAGAGATGAAAAAGTAGTGGTATTTCCTCTTGTTTCACATGGAGCAGACCCTTAATAACTCACAGCAAGATAAACAAGAGGAAGGGCAAAGTCAGCCAGTAAAGACAGACTCAATTGCAATGATGCAACGTAGACAAAAAGTTATTAAACAGGGAGGAATTTTTACCAGTAAAAGTCAATTAGCCAAAGTTTGTCTCCCAACTGGATGTTTCTAAAATGGATACACATACACACATACAAGCATGCAAGGGGTAGGATTAAAAAGTCCACTCTAAGCTGATGTCTGTGACATGTGGAAAATCACATAAAACCATGAACTGACAGTATTCATATAGGCGAATGGGTCTTGCAGAGAGCAAACTAATATTTCCTTCCACGTGGTAACATTCTCCTGAGCTTGGCGTGACACTGTGTCTGCTTTAGTCTTCAGTTCCCATTTGAATAAGGAGCAGGATGCTTAGCCAACTCCCACATTAATGATCTGTGGTAAAAATATATACATAACCCAGATGCCATTTTCTCACTCTCTTTTTGAGAACACTTAGGCCTTGGAGTAAACATTTATTCTAAACAATGCGGGAGGAATGTGACTGCTCAGCATTGCCTAGGATTAGTGGGCAGGGCTGGAGTATAGCTTCAGTTACAGTAAAGAAATATGTGATAGGAGAAGTATGTTTTGACAAGGATAGTATTATTAACTGTACGAAGATTTGCCTCGTTAACCCTTCAAGAGCTTTCTGGGTAATTTTTGTGTATTGTCTGAAGGAGCACTGCTTGCCATGCCAGCATAGTTTCCAAGTCACACTGTGATGCTAAATGTCTTAAAGATGGTGGATAAAAATAAATGCTCTGCTCGCTGAGGAGGCCAGACCATCAGCTGCAGCAGGATGGCGAAGCATCATTATTGTCACTGAAGAGGTCTAAACTGAGACTTAATGAGGTTGTATCTTATAGTCATTAACATTACCATAATAGTCGTCACAAAAGCTTTTGTTAACTGTTGTGCAGTGGACAAATTCATCCAAGATTAATGAGCTGCTGTCTGGTTTGAGTCATTTTAGTTGGGGCTGTCTTAACCTCCTGACTATGCACTCTTGTGTACGTTGGTGTGAGTTGTTAAAAGACCGCTCTGTGCCAACATTCACATAGTTGGCTGGATTTCGATGACACTTTTTATGATCCTGTAACTGAATGCAAGAACTCCTGACTGATAAAAAAAATATGTTTGCGTATAAACGCATTCAACTGTGCGAAGTATTTTCAGTTTCCATTTATTATATATGCTGTGCTAATTCTGGCTGCTATTAATATCCTCTTAATTGAAGGAGGTGTTTCTACTTCTTTGATTTTGTAATAATCATGTCTCTGTCCTTTAATCTGTCCACCATTTGTTGTCCACTTGAAGCTCTCCTGACTGTAACTGTTAGTCCATGAGTACCAACACCCCATAGGTTGAGCGGCCACAGTGTGAACTGGGTGCTGTGGAGGCAGACAGAAAGTTAGGTCTCTGGGCTTCAAAGAAACTCACCTAAACACTGAGGGTAGATAAAGCACCGCCGAGGCGGCACAAAACCAAGATGCACATTGTCTCCAAAGCTGGGCAGGCACCACAATCGCCTGAGGTAGCTACATATGCTTGTTGGAACAACAGCTTGCTATTTTTCTCTATAAAGATGTACCCCCATTATCTCCTAAAAGGTGTTATTTTGCTGTTCTTGGTTTTGCCTCTCATCCCTCTGGCATTATCCATTGCATTATGCCAGCTGCACCTATGAAAACACTTTCCCATTGATTCAACACATCATGCCATTCTTAAGACTTCAGACAGCTTCTGTGATGCTAAAGGCTTGAGATCGAGACAATTTGTTCTTTCTTCCTACGGTTGGTTTAGGGGCCTTTGTCATGCAGTAGATTTTTCAGCTCTTGGAAATTAGGCACAAATATGCAAAGCTGAAGTACCAAGCTCAAAAAAAAAAAAAAAAAAAAGCAGAAGTCAGCTCTAAGTTAATCAAAATTCAGCTAAAAGACTCAGAAAAGTATGAAGCAATTTTTGGAACTGCATGTGCTGTGCTGGGACAGGCTGCTCTCACAAAATGTAATCTAGAATGTCAGCACAAAGTCCATATATCTAGACAGACTGTCTCTGGTGCTCTGAGTTCTTTGGATGGACACATCACCCTTTTATGGAAATTCATCCATTCATTCAGTGCAGGAGTAGGTATACTGAACAAATGCATGAATTTCTGTCCCCAAAGATGCACTGAAGTATCAACATGCCTATTGCTAGATTTTTAAGAGAGTAATTCCCTGACAAAATTATGTAATCTGTGTTATTTAGGAGTTCTGAGAAGATGGTAAAAGTGCTTTCTGACTGCATAAAGATCTATGGTTTTATTTTTCAATTAGTGTGAAGTTTCAGGTTGCTGAATTTATTATCTGCTACTTCAGTTTTATTTTCTTCAGTTGGCACACCTATAATGCAAAGTAGAACATTGCGTGTATTGGGAGTAATCCAATTGGAGCAAACTTCAAGATGCTTTTGAAAGTCACATGTATCTATAGGGCTTTTTTGGTAAAAAGGTGGATAAACTTGGCAGTTTAATCTGGTTAGGAGTTACGCTTTTTCCGTATGTTCTGATTTTCCTGAAAAGAAGAAGAAAGAAAAAATGTTCATCTGTTTTTCACATGCTTTTCCCCATTTGTTTGGCAGGACTTTGTAATGTGAGGAGACACAATGACCAAATGCATCCCTAGAACTGCAGAGGTCACACCAGGCCTTGCATTGGCTCATTAAATTTCTATACATACCCAGCTATCCTTTGATTATTATTTTTTCTCCCTGAAATCACATAGAACTTCCTTTTTTAAGATGTGTGGTCATACATACTTTTTAAAAAAAAATCATTTTTTGCTTATCATCGAAATAAACATTTCAGTCTAGGCAAAGTACAGTGTTGGTAGGCTGGTTTTCTCCCATGGCATTGATGAAATGGTGCCTGTTAACAGCGTAGGGTACTTCATCCCACTCTGCAAGTCTGCTGTTATTAATATGAAGAGAACATAGATGTGTGCAAACAACAACATTTAGTATTTCCAGTCCTTCTTGAAAAAAATTAATTTTAAATTAATTTAATGAAACTAAACACAGATTGGGGCCACAGGATCATGCAGGTGGTGGCATTTTATATAGAGATTATATCCTCTTCTCCAAGGACATGGTTGTTATCCTATCTCGACTCAAATCAGCGGGAGATTTATCACCAGCTCTCTGTGAGTCTGGGTTACACCTATGCTGGTCAGTCCAATCAGCATGTAAGTGACCTATTCTCACCACAGCCAAGTGACAGTGGATAAGCACTTTGTTTACCTAAGGACAGGTCTATCCTTGCCAATGAGGTATTGAACCGGGTCTTGAATATGAGGCTAGGAACTGAAAACCATGATCCCATCTCTAACATGGACCTTTTCACAGAATTGTTAGAATGAGCAGTTATGCTCATAAAAGTTTACATGTAAAGGATTAATGGTTTTCATCTCTCACAAATCTGTCACTTGTATCTGCTCTGTATCTGCCAAGCTTAGTGACTAATGTGAGTTTGAGTACACTATTTCTTCTAAATTTCTAAATTTCTCAGACATTCAGCTGAAGCAAAATGAACAGATCTCTCTATTTCACCTCCTGAGGAGGCTAGGTTACAATGCCCTAGCTGAACTGAAAGGTTTGTGAAGGCATTGAAAGAAGGAAGGGGTTGCCCAGTAGACCATTTATGACTAAGCATGTTATTGTCCCTAGCACCATGGGGCCGAGAACTTAAGCTTCTGACGTTATCTGCTTAGGCGTTGTCTAGGCTTAGCTTACTGGGCTGTGGAGCCTGGCTTCATATAACACAGGGGAATGGGAATTTTGGCCAACATTTCTAGTTAAATCTAGGGGAGGCTGAAGAGGGTTGGGTTTTTTCAGGCTGGGACTTGAGAAATATGGCTGACAGACTATATTTTTTCCAAACAAACTATTATTAATTTTTTTAAAAATCGTATATTAAAAAAAAAAAAAAAACACACCAAAAAACCCCAAAATGCCAAAACAGTATTCCTTGTAAAAAGGGGGTTTCTTTTGTCATAAGATGGACAGTAGGTTGAGTATATAAAATCTTACAAAAAAGTGTATGAAGAAAATTGGCTAAATCTGTTTGTATTAATGAAGATAGAATGATTTTTTGAATGAAAATATCAATTAAATTCCTCACACATATTATTTAAGATGCGTTGTCAGGTTCTTCAGGAAGTTTAAATTTCCATTTGTGTGATTCTCTTGCCTAGTTATCGGTAAAAAGTTTTGAAATACAAGAGGAAAATGAATTCATGGCCACATATTAGTTTCTTGTTCTAGACCATATGTATTAGAAAACTACTCCGTTTATAGTTATTGTGCTTGATGAGGACTAAAATATCTATCATTATTGGTTAATACAGCTAAAGAGATAGATAAATAAATATCCCTTCCATATGTTCTCTAATGACAAACTGATTCCTCTTCAACTTGCTTTTTCGTCATAACTAATTTGCTAGTAATTCTGGCTGAAGTCTAGCTAGTTATGTTTATCTTGTTATTTTAAAATATAAATGATCGAATAGGAGTAGGAAGTTCAGTATTTTGGTATTGTATAGGATGTCATTTGAATTTTGAGTTAATTTACATTGGCTTCTATCTGTGTGTGGAGTTTAAAAAAAAAGAACCAGAAACTGCATTAAGCCAACTAAGAATAGAAGCTGTGATTCAAAAGGCATTGAGATTAGTTGAAAATGTTACATTAGGAAAGTAAGGACTATTTTTAATGAAAGGAAAAAAAAAAAAAAAGAACTGCTGGCTATAGTAAGTCATTAATCATCAAAATGATTTTCCAGTGTAAAATAATTAACCAGATCTAGAACGAGGACAAATTCCATAATGAAATATATGTACTAATTTACAATGGATCATAGTGTGAGGTTTCTACAGCCGCAGCTCTAAGTTGTGCATTCAGTCCTAATGTGGAATAGCATGGTGGTCTGCCAGATCATATTCTGTTCTGACTGGCCATCAACGACAGTTCCATTTTGCAATGAAAATTTTTGAGGATTTCCTCATTGGGGTTTTCTTGGTTTTTTTTTTTTTTGCTGTTGTTGTTGAGGGTAAGGGGGAGGGACGGACACATTGTGGGGTTTTTTTACTGTTCCAAAAGTTTGGGGTTAAGATATTCACTTTAGCTGTTGGAAATCTGGATTTACATCTATGCTCTGATTGTTTTGGAAGAAGAATTTGAATCAGATCAACCATAACCTGGGTATTTTTGTTCTAAATTTTGTCTTTCCATCTTTTACTCTTCCCTGTTGAAGCTGTTCTTTGTATGTGAAAGTAGCCACAGTTTTACAGAGAGAGCAGTGGGGTATCTGCTGGATAAGAAATCCCTTTCTCTCTTACTTACTTGGAAACATTTAAATGGAAACTCCATCTCAGGCTTAAGGAAAATTTTCTCTGAACCAATATCTTCCCAATTAAATGGGTTGGCACTGTACAGTGAAAATTCCCAGCAAGTGATATTTCAGGGTCTGCTGTTAAATTGTTGGCTATGAATGTCACGATGTTTCTGACTTTACTACCTGTTTTTCTGTAAACTGGATAACTGAACTCCAGTATTTCCTCTTTCTGAAGTGAAGTAATAGTTCTCCAAGGGAATCTCACTTTTGTGTGAACAAAGTGGTAGGGTCTGGCTCCAAGCTTCCCCCTGGCTCAATTTACCAGTCTGACATACTGTCACATGAGAAGAGCTGTGAATCTGGTTCTAAAAATATCGACATCTTAGAAAGAAAAGGTATACACTGAAGATCTGAAGCAATAGCCTTGCATGAAGTACTGGTCCTGTGAAATCACCAAAGTCAAGGTTTCATCCTTACACATAACGACTTGAAAAGAGGCTTCTGTATGAGAAGTTAGTTGCTATTAGTTTGTCTTCCTTAAAAACACTTTAAAAATCCCTTTTGCCCTTGTCTTTGCAGTCCTCCCTTTTATCAAACTGTCTTCTGAAGTCCACCAATCGCTGGGCACTGTGTTTCTGCATTTGATGCTGTTGAATCACCTGTATGGCACCCTGGGGTCTTAGGAGTGTGGTTTGGAGCAGCTCAGCAGAGAAAAACCTCCCTGGCAGAGCTAGAAGTGTACAACAGCAAAGCTATACACGCTGTCTGTCAGTCCTCTCTCTCTCACTCCACCTTTCTTCCAGTGAAAACAGTATCTTTACCTGACTCTACCTTGAGTATGTTCAGAGGCCCTACACAGCTCCAAAATCCTTGTTTGGGTGTTTCTGGCCCTTTTGCCCTCCCCTCTGGCAGTAGTGCATGATATTAAGAGTTTGAGGGAGGAGACAAAAACTTCCCTTGATACTGTCCATCGAGATGTTTCATAGTTGTCTTTGCTGCTGTTCTGTGCACGTATATATGGGCCTCTTTTCCCTCTTTGTCTTAGGTTTTCTTTCTCATCCTCTTACCACTGACACTCACTGCCCAGGCTGTTGTAGCATCAACCAGAAATATTGAAAGCGGCCTCTGCAATGATAGAGTTTTGTACCATTTTCTGTCTCTGTATGAAACCTATTATGGTTGTACAAATCATTTCAGTCCTAATAAGTTCCCTGTCAAGGAGTTTGCTGGATTTTAGATTGGTCTGTGACCTTAACAGACTTCACCTCTAGAAATGAGGGCTGAGAACACAGTCTTATGTGGGGGGAAAACCTCAGTCCCACCTCATATGTTTTAGATTTAGAGCAAAGTTCACCTCTGCTATGCCTTCCCTAAATGGGTACATTTGTCCCGTCGTTACATCCTAACTAATTTCATGTCCTTTATTCTGTTCAAAATGACTATTGAAAAGAAAATAGCTTCTTTAAGTATATAGTACCTTTGCTGCAATACTGACACAACATTGCTGTAATATACTGGGCCAAGCAAATTATTTTTAAAGCAAAATTATTAAACTATGATCTTGCTTAATCCTTCTATAAACATTTGGGGAAGAAAAATATGCTTTAATCTTGTTTCAGTTCTACATTTTTTTGGTGAATAATCTGTGAATAATTCACTTTCCAGATGCAAAGTATTACTGAGGTATTATGATAAGACTAAGGAAAATACAACCAAAGATGTATTTCATTTGGAGGGTTGTGTGTTTGTTTTTCAAAATAGAGGCTTTGGTGCCACCACTCATAATATGTAAAAGAGTCATCTTGTTTTTAGCCCCACCTGCCATAATGGTTTGAACTGCAAGCTTTGTTTCATTAGAAGGAGTATCAGGGTCATATCAATGCTGCTGCATTTCATGTCCAAAGATAAAATAGTTTCAGTTGTGCCAACTTTTGACAATAACCTCTGCAGCTACTGCAGATGAAATCTTGCTGAGTGGATCTGGGATTTGTTTGTTCCAGCCTTACAGACATCTGTTCCTTCTCCCAGGTCCCCTGATGCTGTCTGCTTTCATGCAGCGTTTAACCAAGTCAGTAAGACCTTTATCTAAATGTGAGATACAGAAAACACAATTGAACTCCATACCAGAAATGTCTCCTCCTGAGATGTTATTCAGAGCTATGTGTTGAGCATAGTTTAGTTACAATTTTATTAGCAGAAGTTGCCCACTGCTTTTCTGCAGGACTTGAATATGTTGAGCTGTGTAACCTTGGTACTAGGTCCTGCAAGTGTTGTCATGCCTGGCCAGTCTTGTCTCTGAATTGTTGAAATATTCCTTATTATATGTATTAATGATTACAATAATTAATCTTTAATAAATCTGATCTAGGTGATTATCTCAAGGTGTTTTGACTTGACTGCCATATAAAACTTGGGGAGAACAGATTGTATGAACCAAAACCACACAACCTGCAGAGAAATTAGATTAAAAGTATGCCTAAAAGAAGTCTTTATAAACATCTCCTATTACATCTTTCCTTATCCAAAGATTTGGGACAGAATGCTGGCCCCAGTGAAGCCAATGGAAAAACTCCAATTGCTGTTAATAAGGGCCAGGATTTTATTCCAAATCTGTGAAATACGCCATAATTAACCTTCCATTGTGGCTGCCAGATTCCATGTCACCACTTGCTTTCACATTCTGAATTTAATTTTAGTGAAAATCTGTACAAAACTTCAGAGGTATTTAAGGAATAGCAAAGTGGCTTTCTCCCTCTGTCACTTTCTCTTATATGCCCAGTTAATTTAGAAAATATTCCCTGCTGTCTTCCACAATTTCCTCTTGTGACAAATGTTGAAAACCCTACATTAACTTAATGGCAAATTGTCCTTGTTATTGCTTGCTCTACTTTTATGTGCTTATTTGAAGAAATCCCACAGCTCACCACACTCTAATTAATGTTCATTAATTATTTAAAACTTTGCTTTATTCTCTATATTAAATTAGCTCCCTTTCTCCTCCAAATAAATAAATGATGATTTTAATTATTTTTATATAAACATTTTTTTAGTTCAGGTCAGGAGCTCTTGCTGGATGTTCAGTATACATTTGGACTGCCGTTCTACCAGAAGTATGAAGAACAATTTACGATGGAAGAAAAGAGACTTTCTTTGCAAATCATGCAATACATCTCCAACTTTGTAAACTCTGGGTAAGTATATGACATTTAAGAATTGCTGTGGTTGGGGAGGGGGAAAGGAGTAGAGGGAATGTAGTCCAGATTTTGCCATTACTTAAGTAGCCTCCATTTCCTCTAGCAAGTCTATAAAGGTAGCTTTGGTCAACACTATTGGAAAGTCATGACCAAGTTGACAAGTAGATACCAAAGATTTGTAGTATGACACTTAGCTAGAAGTAATAGGAATTTTATCACCATGGAGCAGCTGCAAATTCTACTTAAATATATGAGGGCTACAAAGGTCTTGGCATTGTTTCCAGAGCTTAGTTCTAGGACCCCAGTTTGGAAGAGTGTTGGCTAAGAGTTCCCTTATTCCCAGAAGAAAGGGGAAATCACATGAAGACACAGTGCACCCTTTACCAACAACCCTGTGAATAACCCCCATCTTTACTGTGCTATGGCTGTGCTCAGGAATGAGGAGTATCTCTGGAAAGATAGTGTGGGAGCTGTGACTTTATGTGCTTTTTTAGAGTACCTTGAGTTGCTCTGGGACTGAGGCCTGTTGAGGGTGTTCATCAGCCTGTGTCTATACAGGTTCTGTGTACCTGTTCCCTAGAAAGTGGACCAGACTAACCAGTTACTGTCAGTTGAGGCACCGTGAACGATTCACCAGTCTGGACTGAATTTGAACACTATTGGCCATGGGACTGGATACACATTTCCTTCACTCAGCCAATCTCCTGAATTTTACTGTTCCTGTCATTGATTTCTAATGATCATTCCTCCTGCTCTCTTAGGAATCCAAACTACCCTCATAGTTTCTCAAGAAGAATGTCAGGGATGATACCCCCCTGGCCTATGTATCTGCCAAATGATGATGGTGATAACTACAAGGAGTTCACTGTTTCCTTGCCAACTCTTAAAGGATTGAAAACAGCAGACTGTTCCTTCTGGTCTAATTATATCAGGAGACTGAAAGCATCCACAGGTGAGCAGAATGTTTTCTGTCATTAACTAAAACATAAATACTCTGCTTAATGTTTCCCTCTGTCTTTAGTCATGTTAATATTACAGTTATGTCAGTGTGGAAAAACACTTTTCATAGATGAAGCATATTGCACAGTCCAGGGTACACGGTCAAGACGCTCCTGATGCAACGCTAAACAAATTTGTTTTAGAGCAGACAGTGTATAATAAAGTTTCATTGTCCTGGAGTTAGAGATAGAGAAATCTTCCTGCAGCGATTATAGAAGGTATGATGAAGTTATCGGTCTTCTAAAACTGTGCTGTCTATTTGCAGCCATAATATGGATTTTGACTAAACTGGGAGTGGCCTCTTTTGCCTACTAGAAGCACCTAACATGAGAATGCTGAGATTCATATGACTTAGGATGAGCACAATAACTTCTATTCACTGTAAAGTTACAATTCAGGCTTTAGGTATATCTCAGTATGGATCCTGCATGCTTTGACTTCACACAAGATAGTTTCCTTTTTTTTTTTTCTTTTTGTTTTTCTGCTTGGTTGGTTGGTTTTCAACAGCTGTGCTGGTTATCCCCTTGTATTTCTCCTTTATCTCCATAAATTTCCATGCAGCTGTGAGACTCCTCCAATCTTTTCTTACTGCTTAGAACAGTAAGACCAGTCTTTCTGGTAAACTCCCCTTCATATCTGTGTATGTTGCAAATAAATGTGGATATCCTCAAGAAAACCAAACAAAGCTGTCCCTTTTTGGCAGGCTGAGATGTTTTGAATTATGCTTGGAGGCCTGCAAGCTTACAAGTGTTTTTTATGTCCTAAGGACTCATCTTCACAGTGAACACAGTCCAGGACCTTTCTGTTTTGGAGACCAGTTGCATTTCCGGGAACAAAATGTGCTCTCCAAGACACGGAGCTGACTAGGCTATCTATGCCTGACAGACCACCTCAAATGGACTGAGGTTGATGTTCGAGGGGTACAGAACTGTAATGTCTCAGATCCAGCAAGTTGGTGGTTCTGATATAAACACAAAGCATCAATGGGTAGATTGTGATTAGGTAGAAGGAAGAAATTCTTCCTTGTGAGGGTGATGAGGCACTGGAACAGTTTTCCCAAAGAAGTTGTGGCATGCAACTCCAGGGTGGATGAGTGTTTGAGCAATCTGACCTAGTGAAAGGGGTCCATTGCCCATGGCAGGGGAGTTGGAAATAGATGTGCTTTAAGGTCCCTTCCAACCTAACCCATTCTGTGATTCAAGAGATAGCCTGAAACATTACTCATGGTCTTTCTTCAAAAGTGGACTCAAGATTTTGCTGTAGGCTTTTTCATCAGTTTCTTGGTATCTCTCAGTGTCTTTCAGCTTCAGAGAGAATGTTTTGATCTCTCTGATGGCTCTCTGCTGGTCAAGATATTCCTAATTTGAAATCTTGATCCTGATGTTTAAACAGTCCAGGGTATAGTTTCTAGATCTTTTGGGTCTTACTCTCACAGCATTACGGCTGTGTAACACCAGACTGAGTTGCCATCATGGCTCTGGCAGACCGACTGTTGACTGAGCACCACGGACAGAGGCTGCTGCCAGCATTTACAGAAAACCCTGAAAAACGGTGGGAAAACTTTTATCAGGATGGATTGTTTTAGAGATGGAGAAGGTTTAAATCCATCCAGACTGTCATAATAATACCCATCATTCATATATGGGTGAGTTCAATGGTCTGCCCAGCTCAATATCCTGCCCTCATCAGTATCCAAAACCAAATACTTGAATATTAAACATAACGAATTGAGAGAGAGAGAGAAAAACACATTGAAAGGGTTCACAAAGATGAGTCCAATTTTTAAAAACAAACCACGTAGTGTGAGATTTATGGAGTATAGATTGTCAAGGAGAAGGTTTAAAAAGTACATGTCAACATGTTTTTGCGCAAGCAGAAGTAAACCCTGCCTGCTCTTCAAGCCAATATTTGCTTAGACTCAGCACCATGGTAATGCAGCTAGACAGTTCATTTCTACTAAATTCCATCTCAGAGCAATGTTGCCTTGTCACCTTGCTTTGATGATCATCTTTACTCTTATCTCACCCTGGAATACTGAAACTTGTCCCATGACTTCTACTTAAATAGGCATTACATCAAACCCACTTCCACTCCAGACCTCAGCATGGGATGCTAACTTAGAGACTGCTGCTGTGGTTGTCCTGAGAACAACCTGAACCCACCTCCTTGTGAAAAAAGATTTGCAGTGTTCATCAGTTCAGCTAGGAGGACTGTATGAACTTCAGATGCTGATGGCTGAACACCCTCAATTTCTTTTTGAGAGGAAGTTGTGCTGAAATTCATGCCAAAGCAGTGTCAGCCAATCAATACAGGTTTATCACTTATATTGCTCCCCAAAGTCATATCCTGCAGGAGTGGACAAGTGAGACTGTAGAATGTGTTCAGTCAAGAGAATGTGTGGGGTTGCTGCTTGGTTCTGTGCCTCCATGCACCAGAGACTTGCTGTACCTCCTTTCAGAGCTGAAGCACTGCATCTCTGCTCCAGACTGTTCCTGCAGTGCTGCCAGGCTGTTGTATGAGGTCCTGGCATGATGTTGGATGCTAGATTTGAGAGAGCAGTGCTGCAAACAATATTTGGGTGATGTTCCTTGCGCTCCATCCTGAGAGGGAACTATTATCTGTCAGTTACTGTGAGATCCAATCTAACACATGGTAGTGGAAAAAAGAGCAGTTTCCTGCCTTTCAATAATTATAAATCTTTATGACAGTGTTTTTGGATTGTATGATACATTGTTCATTCTGGCTGCTGAGTCTTACTTGTGGCTTGCAGTTTGTGGCCTCATGCCAGGTAGATGCTGTTTACAAGTATGGCAGCAAGAGGTGTCGCTAATGAAACAATCCAGTTTTCACATTCAAGTGTAAAGCTGTAGACGGTCTATTCTGATGAAATCTCAATCAACTGTGATGAACCCTGTGTTGTCCATCTCACCTATTCCTTGGAATCACTATCTTTCCAGCTCATACATCATCTGTGAACAAAAATTCAACATATTTCAATGAAATGGAGAAAAACTGGGCAAATCAGTCATCATAACATATAACTGCAACTGGCTTTTCAAAATTTTTATTGGTCCTTTCCTTTGTTTACTGCCATGTGAAATGTCTTGACTTAGGATTGTCAAATTAGGATAGCTGAAGGATCGAAGGTCAATATTGTAGACTCAAGTCTCAGAAGAAAAAAAAAAAAGAGTTACTACTAAACTCATTGTCCTGGTTTTGGCTGAGATGGAGTTAATTTTCTTCATAGTAGCTAGCAAGGGGCTATGGTTTGGATTGTGCTGAGAAGAATGTTGATAACACTGATGTTTTACTTGTTGCTAGGTAATGCTTACATTAAGCCGAGGACTTTCTCAGTTGCTCATGCTGCCCCTATTTTCCCAGCTACTGTAGAGAAGAAACGTTCTTTTCTATGAGAAAGTGGGGAGGGGACACAGCCAGGACAGCTGGCCCAAAATAACCAAAGGGACATTTCACGCCATAAGGCATCATGCTCAGTATATAAGCAACGGGGAGTTGGCTGAGGAGTAACGATGCTTGGGAATGAGCTATTGATCACCAGGTGGTGAGAAATTATTGCTTTATGTGTCACTTGGTTTTGTATCCTCTTTTATTATTATTTCTTCTCCCTTTGCTGTCCTATTGAATTGTTTTTATCTCAGCCCATGAGTTTTTTTCTCCAAATCTCTTCCTTATCCCATCTGGAAGGGGTTGGGGGTGTGACCAAGCAGCTGCATGGTACTTAGTTGCTGGCTGGACCTAAACCACGACACTCATAAATTGCAGTTTCTGGAATAGAGCCTCTCATATTTAGAATGTCTTGTACAGCTGAAGTTTCATGTCTTTTAGGTTATTCACTGCTGGATCTAGAAGCTGTTGTGTATATATCCAGCTTAACTGTTGCCGGTAATTTTCTTTCCATTTAGTAAAAATAGTGTCCAAGTTGAAGTAGGTGTTTCATTTTGTGATCAGACTGAAATATTTAATGGTGGAATGTATCATTTGTTCCTGGCATATAATTTAAATATATGTTGTTGTAATTGAAGATAATTTAACAAAAGTAATTTCATAAATGCAATGACTCTTCATGGTATTTACTGATAGTGCCTTTACAAATTATAGAGGAAAGTCTGAATCTGTTTAATTGCAGATGATTTATAAATCTGATGAAGTTTTGTTTAAAACCAATTTATAAAGTTGACATTTGGGGGGGCAGTTTACCTGGGGAATTATGAAAGTGATGGTGCTTGAAAAGGTTTGAATTTGGAAAATGAAGTTCCCATGGTTGCATTTCAAAGGCATGCTTTATATTCTGAATCATGATGGTTTCCATGGGAAACATCAAAACGAGAAACAAGAAGAGTGGCCATTGTGGAAAAAAGCTGTGGATGCCTTTTTCCAGGGAATGTGTTAACACCTTGAAATTAAGTTACAAACAGGAGCTCCAGGATGTTTATGCATATTCAGACGGTATGTCTGAACGTTCGAATTCCCTTTGCACTGTGTGCTGGACTGCGTTGCATAACAGGGAGTCCCTTTACGAGGGACCTCTCACTGCATCCCAAACAGGTACACTTGGATCCAGTCTAAATCTCTTACTCATCTAATTGGTTAATAAACAGAACCAGTCCTCCTAAAATAAGTGCCTCTGCAAGCAGTGTTGCAGCTGGGGAGAAGGAGATACCTTTAGAGTCTCCAAAGTGAAATCTTGTCTCCCTAATTCATGTGCCTGAATTTATACATTTAGACATACTTTACGTGTCCAAGTTAGCCAGACCGGCGCCCACCTATAGAAAATTCAACAGCTGAAGGCTTCCTCTTTAGCTCTGAGACACCATGTGTAGCCACACAAGAGTCCAAATAAAGCAAGAGTGTTCATAGTTCAGGCTTGAATCAAGACTGAATCAGGAATGTTGTGGTTAGCAGTCATCTTTTACACATTCTATTCACACCTTCTTTTTGGAAATCTCCACTAGAAAACA